ACTGGCCCCCCCCGGTCGGGTCCGAGGCAAACCCGACCCGAGCCCCGCTGAGCCCCCCCGCCGGCCGGGGCAGGAGCTGCCTCCGGGCCTGCCCGCGGGACGCGACAAGCCTCAGCGCCCGAGCTCGGTGCCCTTGTAGGATTAAGTCGCCCCAGGGAAAAAAAAAAAAGAAAAGGCCCAAGCGGTGGAAAAGTCCGTTTCCGCTTTTCAGCCCCATCGGGGGCATAGGGCGTTGCGGCCTCCCACCGCCTAACGCCGGCGCGCCTGCCCTGGGAAAGGCCGGCGTTGCCCGCTCTCGCTTCATATCGTAAGGAATGGTTTTACGGTATTCACAGCTTTCCAGGGCTAAGCTGTTTGGTACTTCCAGCATAAACGTTGTCTCGCCCCTGGGGGTTCATCTCACCCATGAACGGTTCAGAGATCCTCTGTCGGTCTGTTAGGCCAAGTGGTGCGTGCCCCGGGATCGGGCTGAAGGTCTCACACAGTGAAAACTGTGGTATCCTTCAGCATGTTCCCCAAATCCACCCCTTCCCTAGCGTCAATTATTGCCTTGGCAAAAAAAAAAAAAAGAAAAAGAAAAAACCACTGCCTCTTCCTGGTAAATTCACTGCCAAAATACCATTTCGCTCCACCCACGCAGCACCCCCATACCTGCCAGGAGCGATTCCAGCTCCTAAAAGGGCGTCTTTGTTCCTGCTTTATAGAGCACATCCACCGCCACCCCCCTCCTACCTCCAGTTCTGCCAGAGTCTTTGCATTTTGTGCCATTTTTGTTTCCTATCAGGCCTCTCCATCTTTCGTGACTGCTCTCCTCAGCTCTCCCCTTCGTTGCTAGGATTTTTTCAGGCAGCATTTTCTACAGGGAGCTGGTTCCCGTGTTTTATGTTAAATCTTTTCTTATTCCTAGAGCTTAGTCTGCCCACACATAACTCCCTGTTCTCTTGTCAGGCCTTTGGGTTATACATTTTTGGTGCTAAATGACTCTCTTAGTCTAGGAATCTTTGCATACAGTAAAGCACTGAGTAACATTGTAGCAACATATAAATAGTAAAGCAGCTATATTTTGCTTAATACCTTGTCCTGGAGCTTTCTGACTCACTTGTTGACACTCCAGCTGGGGATGAGGAAACGGCAGTCCTGTCACGACCGGCATGTTCCCAGCCCTGCGGTACAGGATGGTGTGTTCCTTGTGTCATATTAGGAGCCCTTCTAAAACCTCACATCAATCCTGTCCACATTCTTACTTCCGCCCATAGCCCACCAGCTAAAATACACTGCAATTAAACTGTTACAACCTTCAGTTTATTTCTGTACTTGATGCTTATTGCTGATGATCGGTTTGGCTTTGGGATGCCAGCTCTCTGCGTTTGGACTAGAGGCAGTGTGGAGAGGAGAGGGACGTGAGCGAAGCCCTGTGCCCTGTCACGAGAAGGATTTGGGGGTGCAGAAATAGCTAAGGGGTAGTAAGAAATACATTACAGAAAGGAGAAAAAGATATGAATTCACCCCCCCAAGCCCCATCAGCCCCCCAAGGGACCTGTCAGCCCCCCGAGCCCCGTCACCTG